AAAACATTGAAAGTGCAAACAATTCATTGAGACGTTTTTGTTCAAATGTGTTGAAACAATTTGAATTAATTATTCGTTTGATAGCATTATTGGCGCTGAATATGTCGACAGCCATCGAGTTATCGCTTGAGTTATCACTGATACACATGTTTTGTATGTGGTTTACATCCGTGAAAATGGACACATTGTCTGGAGATGTGACACATATAGCGTTTACATCGATCACATTTGTTATCGCGTTTGGATCATTGTTTACCATTTGTGTAATACATTTACTGATCTCGACATCTATTAAGGTATTATCAATTGTCTCGACGTTTGACACATCAGATGAAGTACTGGTAATTGAATTGTCATAAGTCGTGTCTTTCAAACCATTTCTCCTCAACTGTCTGTTGGTTTCAATTGTATGTCTTCGCCATTCCTTCTCCTCTTCATTAAGAATCCATTCCTTTATAACAATAAATTATTATAACTTATGTTAATCTCATTTTAAAATTACCTTTTTCATGCCCACAGCGAAGCACTTCTTGAGCCGACACTTTCTGCATAGTTTGCGATACGTTTTGTCGATAACACAGTCGTCACTAAACTTACATTTATATTTCTATTTGTTATAAAAACAATTAAAATTACCATTTTATATGTTAGACAAAATTAATCATTCAATATCTCATACCNACATTTATATTTCTATTTGTTATAAAAACAATTAAAATTACCATTTTATATGTTAGACAAAATTAATCATTCAATATCTCATACCTCATAATTAAAGGCATGTCTTCGAAAGAATGCTTTACACGACTGACAAGTAATGGCACAAAAGTTGTAGCCTTATATTATTAAAATAATTAATTACAATTAATTAAAAACATAATCACAATGGGTGTATTTGATTTCATTCTTACTAACGGCAGTTGCTCCACAAACAGCACAGACCATAGGATTATTACCAAGTTGTCTCCTATACCTCGGCATTATTATCGTGGTAATAGTAGTTATAATTTATAACTTATAAACAATTATTTTATTAAATGTTAGTTAATTATATAATAGTAGTTATAATAATGTTAATATTTATAATTAAATACTGACACCTAATTTACAAATTTGTTTAGATATTTCTAAATATACTGGAAATTAAAAAACAGTATTATTATGTCACCAGAATGTAATATTTTACAAACTAGTCAATTACTATGGTAAAATGAGCATATCGAAAAAACAATACAGTATAATTAATAACACAGTGTAATTTCAAGGCTTTAATTTACTTAAAAATGAGTACAATATAAGTGTATAAATTAATATCACTTACATGTTTGAGAATATATTCAGTTATCATAAATTTATATTTGTTTAATCATTATGTTTTAGTTGCACCCCAATAGACATAGTAACATAAATTCATTGCCAGAACTTTTGATTATTTACACTGAAGTGCTTTATTGATAATATACTGTACAGTATATTAATAACATTGATTATTCGTTAAATAAAATGAAAGTAATCATATTTAATATTTATACATTACATTAATGTTTTACAATTATATATATTTCCAAAATAATTATTTTAATTTCACAAATATTTAATTTGATTGACTATTTGCTGGTAAATCAAGAATCTCTTTAAGAAGTGGACCACAGAATTGTGGATCGGATTGTTTATATCGCTGTTTATATAATTCATTCAATACTTTATTGTCTCGTAAAATAATTAATACTTTTGCATATTTGTTGTCGAAATCGTTACTATATTTTATACGCAAATATTTCTGAAGTAAATACAGGTATAGCTGTTGTTGTAATCTATTGTAATCACAACAACAAAAAATCAGTATTAATATTAAACAAAAATCTTTAATGACTTACTCTATGCTATCTCTGTTGATAATGTTTGGCAGATCGGGATTGAATAGGAGTACAGGCATTATCTGTTTTAATAAATATACATTTTAAATGTAAATAATTAAGTATAACTTGTGGTAAAATTTAAAATAATACCAATTCGAGAATATGTATATCAGAGTCAAAATTCGTGACAAAAGTGTCAAAATAAGACTTAAATAGGCTGTGAATATTGGTCTGTAGACCTGTGATTGACTCCAAAGACAGTGCCACCCAATTATCTTGGCCGTTCTATTATCAAAATTTTCATAGTAATTAAATAAATAAATAAATATTGGTTACACAAACAATATACATGTATAATAAGATAATTATAAATTATCTGCATCCATACCATAGGAAAATATAGACCGGCAACTTCTCGCTTATAAAATGCGCCCGCTTTAAGCAGATTAAACGCAATGCAACCGTATTTGACCATGGCGATTCGATCATTTAAACATAGACTTTGAAATGCATCAAAACTTTGAATATTTTCCACGAGTTCTTTTAATCTGTTATCAAATTTGCTTTAAGCAGATTAAACGCAATGCAACCGTATTTGACCATGGCGATTCGATCATTTAAACATAGACTTTGAAATGCATCAAAACTTTGAATATTTTCCACGAGTTCTTTTAATCTGTTATCAAATTTTTGCGCAGAAATTTGCATAATATAGTCATAAGACATGACTAATTTAATGTGATTTGAATCTGGGTAAGTAAATTTTGGGTTATCCTTAAAAGGCTCGTAAAACATTGAGAGACCAAACAATTCATTGACACGTTTTGTCTCAAAAATGTTGAAACAATTTAAATCAATTAATCTTTTGATTGCATTATTAGCGCTGAATATGTCGACAGCCATCGAGTTATCGCTGGTGTTATCACTGATACACATGTTTTGTATTTGGTTTACATCAGTGAAAATGGACACATTGTCTGGATATGTGACACATATAGCATTTACATCGATTGTATCTGTTATCTCGTTTGGATCATTGTTTGCCATTTGTGTAATACATTTACTGATCTCATCATATCTTATGGTATTATCCACTGTATTATCAATTGTCTCATTGAGTGACACATCAGATGAAGTACTGGTACTTGAATTGTCATAATATTTGTATTTAACACCAATTGTTCTCCACTTTCTGTTTTCCTCGATTTGATGTCTTCTCAACGCCTTCTCCTCTTCGCTAAGAATCCATTCCTTTATAACAAATAATATATAAATTATATTATTATTTAAAATATCATAAATTAGTTTCGTTTTTATAATTACTCTTTTCATTCCGACATCAAAACACTTCCTGAGCCGACACTTCTGGCATATTCTCCGGTGCTTTATATCAATAATACAATCGCCACTGAATTTACAGTTAATTTTCTATTCATAGTTAATATAATTAATATTATCATTATTTTTGGTTACATTTGTTTAATACCTCATAACTCAATGCGTTTCTACGAAAGAATGCCTTACATGACTGACAAGTAATGGCACTGAAGTTATTCCCTTATAATTATATAATATTATATAATAATTATTTTAAAAATAACCAATATACATGTTATTTTAAATTAAATAATTACCTATTGCTTTTTCGCCGCATACGGCACACACTTTTGGTTTAATAGCTTTTGATTTCCTATATCTCGGCATTATTTACACATATTATCAATAAAAATATTATATAAAATACTTTTAAACGATGTTTTTTAATATTTTGAAAAATATTGTAATGTAATAAAATTAAATTATACTTTGCGTTGATTTTATATTAATGAAAACTAAAGTGATTTTATTATAAGAATGCAATACTATTATAAGCTTATCAATTTCTATGGAAACAATAATAATATTAAAAATAATCCAACAGTTGTTATTAAATATATAAATTATGTATTGATAAATTACATATTCTTTATATTTATAAGCATATAATTTTTAAGACACTCTGTAGTAAAGAAAATTTATATCTATATGTAATAGATTACAGATCAATTTGAAATTAAAGTATTAAACAATCAAATAGTTTATTAATCAATATAAAAATTTATACATAGAAATCTTGATCATTTACATTGAAGCATGTTAATTACAGTAACAGTGATGATAATTTATTTAAAAATATGAATTTTACAAATATATAACAGTTATATTTTTAAAATATAACAGTTATATTTTTAAAATATAACTAAAACTTAAGATAATTATTTATTTAATTTGATTTACAATTTTCTGGCGAATCAAGAATCTCTTTAAGAAGTGGATTACAAATTTGTGAATTCATATCTTTATAGTTTTGTTTATGTAATTCATTCAACACTTGAAAATCTCGCAAAATATTTGATATTTTTGAATACTTGTCGTCAAAATCGTTGCCATATTTTATACGCAAATATTTTCGAA